CTTTTTTTGACGAAAAATCACTTCCGGTGACGTCACCGGAAGTGATTTTTCGTCAAAAAAAGATGGCGGCGCCCAGCTGACGCCGGAACCGGGCCGCGGCGCCCAGCTGACGCCGGAACCGGGCCGCGGCGTCGAAAAGGTTGGGGATCCCTGAAGTAATATACATTGCTGTGCAAAAGATACCAGTTCCTCAACTAAGGGCAGAATCTAAAACAATCCACCTGCACAACAAGATGCCCATTAAGTGTCCATCTGTCTGATTCAGTTCCTTGAACTATCAACTACTTTCATTTACTTTACAGTCCAAGTTACTGAGATGGAGGAGGCGCAGTCCCACCCCAGTGTAGCTTTCCTGAATGTGGCCTCAAGTTACGTACCCCACACCAAGGTGGAGTGCTACTACAATCTGCCGCCTGGCATGAAGCCGTCAACTAGAGATTGGATTGGCATCTTTAAGGTACTGCAAACGGGGACAAATGGGATGATTATGCTTGAATGCGTATGGTTGCATTTCAGGACATTTGGAGAAATTGTAATCAAGCCTATATGAACCCCACACATTTTGTTACCTATTATTTTTATTACTTGCAGTTTTGACAGCACTCAGGAACCTGGAGTCTCATTCAGATCTAACTCCACTTTTTGTAGCATCAAGGGATGGACATATCTTTTTCTGAACAACAGCATTCAAAGTAGGAAAAAAAAGACCCAGACAAGATTTTCTGATGGTCTCTCATCCAAGTACTAAACAAAGTCTAAACCTGTGTAGCTTCCCTGGGTCCTTCATATTTACCAGGAGAATATATCTTCTTTCAATTAAGAAGATATATGTTGTTCTGCACATGATCAGAATACCCTGCAAGTAGAAAGATAGTACTACTCTCCTAGAACTTTGCATTTTCAATATTCTGATTGCTATTGTCTTCGTAATTCATAAGGAATTCTACTTATTTATTAAATGTATATACTACCCATTTCACTATCAAGCAGCTGGGCAACTTTTCACATGATAAAAACAACAGTATAAAACATTAGATAATTAAAATTAACAAAAGTTAGCTAGGATAGGAATTTTGTGTAAAGAGCAGCATTAAAAAAATACATTCTCACACTCAAAGGTGGTTCCATCCAAAACTGTTGCCTTTGCAATGGACCTTCAGGGAGAGTTACACAAGTACAACATTTTCTAATGCTACCTTTCCCATTCCTTACCTCAGGTGGATGCTTCTTCGGTACGTGACTATTATACTTTTGTGTGGGGCATCATGCCAGATGGTGGAGCTTCTGAAGGAACCCTCCATTGCAGCGTCCAATTCCAAGGTAGGTATGTTTCAAGTGATTCAGAGCAGATTCATCAAAGCATACATGGCTAAATGTTTTGAGTAATACTTGAAGAATGACTTCCTGCCCAAGCAGAATGGTGACACAAGATAAAGTAGATAAACAGAACAACTGGTCTTATTGAACTTGGTTTCAGCAATCTATCTGGCCTGCCCTTTCAAAACAGCTGTTCAAAACAGCTTAGGGAAAAATTCATGGGAAACAATAAATGGTCCACAGTGCTCAAATCAATCCTATGCAGTGAATTAAAATAAAATGCCAATTTGTACTAAAAGCAAAGCAAAAAGATCTCTTAACAGTTCATTGGAAATTCAGAAAAGAGAATGTTAATCGAAACTGAGATCCTGATTTCCTACCTCTGGTTTTCCTTTTATCCGTGACTCATTAGGAGCCAAGTAATAAAATAAAGCCTCATATTTAGAAGTCAGAAAAGTAATACAATAAATACATTTGTCCTTTCACAGCTAGCTACTTACCTAAACCAGGTCCGCAGCAATATCACTTTCGTTATGTGGATCGCCATGGAGAGGTGCATGGCCAAAGTTCTCCTTTCCAGTTCAGCGAACCCCGTCCCATGGATGAGCTCGTCACTCTAGAGGAGGCCAGCGATGACGGAGGTGGAACTGATATGCTGTTGGTGGTTCCCAAGGCCGCTCTACTTGAGGTAGGATATGCTAAGCAACCCTTGGTCCTCGCTGTCAGCCAACATTCTTGACCCTAAACCCACTTGAAGTATTTCCTTCTTTGAGTATAATTTTTTTGTATGACTAGTTTCTTGCTGCCTAACTATAGCATTCAACTCGGCTCAGGAAATTCTAAATTCAGGCTTTCACTCAGCTATGAAATGCTCTAGATTTTAGTCCTGTTTACATTTTTTTTTTCAACCCAACCTATTTTGTGAGGTTATTGTAGACATTCTTAGCACCCTCTAGAGAAGGGATGGCTTAGAAATAAACAGCGACAAACTCAAGCTTGCTGATTTTAATTCTGTTCCATATCATACCTAATACAAAGGGAATGTTATCATATCTATATTAAATGCACAATAACTTCTGCCATAATTAAAGGTTAAGCAAAACCAGCAGTGAGAGAAAGGCCCTATCCCTGGGAATCATTAGTGGAAAATATACTGGTTGCTTCCTTTGAGTCAGCATCTTCACTACTTTCCACATTCAAATTTGGAGGTGCATCCTGGCACAAATTAAACTCTTGACCTATGACCTGACATTTTCCTCAGCATTGGTGTCACAAGTTGGTCTTCTTCGTGCGCCTGGCTCCTACGTCCATCCACCTCAGCTAACTTGGCTAGCAGTCTAGAAAGTAGTCCAACAACACCTCTGCGCCCAGTCTGCCCTCCTAAATGAATGAGATGGAGCAAGAGTTTTAAGATGTCCTGGGCCATCCATCCAATATTAAATGGCTGACCTTCTGCTTTCGTCAAGCTAAGAGAGCAGAGCTTTTCGATCTTCTGGAACTATACCAGAACCATTAAGCTGCTACTGAGACATTCCTTATTTGGCTTCGCTGTATAAAAAATTAAGTATCTTGAAGGCCGAGATAAATGCTTTTCCCTGGCATGTTGAGTTTTCCTCGTGCAAAGCTGTTTTGCAGAAGCAACGGAGCATACAAATAGCCTTGAAATATTTCAGCCTGGAAAGATTATGTCGTGATTTAATTTTTAATCAGCTTTTAATCCTAGGATGGCAGTAGAAAGACGGTAAACCTCAGCCCCCTGAATGAATGTGTCCCCTGACTTTGTACTTCGCTATAGTATCTCTCTCTGCTTCCTCACAGACTCAGCTGGAAGAGAGTCGTCAGGAACAAGGAGCCTTGTTGCGTGAGTCCTGCCACCTGAAGGAAGAGGTTCAAGAGTGGAGAAGCCGCGCAGCAGATCTAGAAGCAGCACTTAGCGCCTTACGTGATGAGCACACCAAGCTGGCTGCACAATATAAGGCAAGGCAGAAAGCAAGGTTCTGCAGCAGGACTTGCCAGCTCTTTCAGATCCGACCTCTTCCCAAGCTTCAGGAGAGGGGTTGCGTTCCCATCATCTTACGAAGCAAAAAGCTCAGGTGGCCACAAAACTTGGTACAACATCTGACTCCAGGCCTGCAGCAAGATCTGGGTATCCCTTCTGACAGTTAGAACAATTAACCAGTGGAACACCTTGCCTCCAGAAGTTGTGAATTCTCCAACACTGGGAGTTTTTAAGAAGAGATTGGACAACCATTTGTCTGAAATGCTATAGGGTTTCCTGCCTGAGCAGCAGGTTGGACTAGAAGACCTCTAAGGTCCCTGTTATTCTGTTCTATTCTATTTTGTACAGCGGGATGCCCCTCTCCCTTAATGCTTGCATGATATTAGCTCATATGCATGCAGTGATTATTAAAATGTCTGCAAAGCATGCTCCCATACACCAGGTTCAGGAGAACATTAGTAGAAAAGGAGTATGTCTCCATCTCATATTTTACGTCTGGTTGGGCATCATGAGAAATAACTATTCTGAATCAAAATGAGCCTTACTTTCATCCAGTAGGGCTATTCATATGTTGCTGTGTTCAATTTTGTCAGCAAAACTACCGTGTTTCTCATAAAATAAGGCTGGGTCTTATATTTTTTTGAGCCCTGAAAAAACAGCTAGGCCGTCTTTTTGGGGGTGACTTAATTCCCCCCCTTGCATCCTCATCTAGAGTGCCCCGTGGGCAGCCTTGCCACCAACCGCTCCTAACGGGTGATCATGGCGAAGCGCAGAGAGCTCCCTACTCCCACCAAACACCTTTGCTGCAGACCCAAGACCTTTGGCACCCACCGCTGTTGCTTTCCCTTCTGCCCATTCCGCCGCCACGTTTGGAGCTGCTGCTTCCGTGTTTGGAGTGCCGCTGCCATTTGGAGTGCCGCCGCCATTTGGAGCACCGCTGTCATGTTTGGAACTGCCACTTCCGCGTTTGGAGCTGCCACCGTGTTTGGAGTGGCGGTGGCGCTCCAAATGGTGGTGCTCCAAACAGCGGCAGTGCTCCAAACACGGAAGCGGCAGCTCCAAACGCGGCGGCAGCTCCAAATGCGGACATGGCAACTCCAAACAGCGGCAGTGCTCCAAACAGCGGTGGGGTTCCAAACGCGGAAGTGGCAGCTCTAAACGCGGTGGCAGCTCCAAATGCGGAAGCGGCAGTTCCAAACGGCAGCGGTGCTCCAAACAGCAGTGGTGCTCCAAACGTGGAAGTGGCAGCTCCAAACGTGGCGGTGGCATGGGCAGAAGGGAAATCAACAGCGGTGGGCGCTGAAGGTCTTGGGTCTGCCACAAAGGTGCTTGGCAGGAGTAGGGAGCTCTCCGCACTCTGCCATGATTGCCCATTAGGAGCAGCTGGTGGCGAGGAATTGCTGCCCGCGGGGCGCTCCTAACGGCAAGTCCCCCCCGCCCTTCCCCCCATTTTGCATGTTTTAAAATAGGCTTAAATTTGGGGGGAGGGGCTTAATTTCATTTTATGCCTAGAAAACATGCGGGGTCTTCCTATTGGGGGAGGTCCGTATTGTTGGAGAAACACGGTAGTAGCTGGGTTTTTAGATTTTATTCAAATGTTATAGACATCATTCACTTTTCTTCCTCTCTACCCTCAACCAGGAACTGTCAAATTCTTACACAGACATCTCCAAGCAGAGAGATACTCTAAGCCTTCAAGACACTGAGCAAGTGGCCCGAATCCAGGAGCTGGAGGGCGATATCCAGGCGATGGGAGAGAAGATGCTTCAGAGGGAGACGGAATTAGACAGGTCAAGGCCATGTCAAACAAAGCACCTCAAGTACAGTCAAAAGGGAGAGGGATGGCGGGAGGGAAAAGGGGGTGGGAGGGAGGACAATATCTTCTGAGCTACCGATAGGCAATCAGTCCTGTTGATGTTCTGATTAGAACTCCTATTAACTCAAGACTATTGGAAGTTTCTAGGAGCAACACAACCGGAGGGTATCCGATTGGGATGGACTGAATTATATCTTCTCTCATGCTAAAGTCAGAATCATCATAGGATCAGTTCTCTGTGCCATTCTAACTCAATCTCGAGGAATTGTCCCAGGATTTAATGTCTTGTGTCCTAGTTTCCATATCTTTGGTTTTATCAGAGGATGTCCACTACCATTCAGATCATGAATTAAACGTAGGTGGAGGAAGTAGAGGAATGAAGGAAGTTTAGGGATCAATACTGATTTTTTACATGGTTTGTGACAAGCCCACTCTCGGTGAATTAGGTTATGTTGGGGAATGTTTTCATACAGAGAAGCCGATCTATTTAATAACCTAGTGATGCCTTGAAATTAAGAGGTTGTGGCTAAAATATCATCTTGGAATTAGGCTGCTGGGCTAGTGGATGCTCATGCTATATTGAGGAAGATGCAAAGATGAATTAAAGGATAGTTTCTAAATATGTACATATGTATGACAGACAGACAGACAGACAGACAGACAGACAGACCTATTTTAGAGATGCCCCTGAGTAGAAAGAGCACAGTGGATATTCCTCACACGTGCATATACTGTTTGGATCATTTCTGCTGCAGGGTGAAAGACACAGTGAAGTCACTTGTGAGGGAGCAGGAACACATCCACCATCAGCTCAAAGAAGAGAATGCTGAGAAAGAGCAGTACCAGGTGAGCTTGGAGCAACATGTTTGAAAAGAGGGACGCAAAGAGGAGCAGGAAAACCAGAGCTGACATCGCTGGCCAAGCAGATGGCATGTTGGAAACGTCTTCTCTCCTCTCCAGGTCAAGCTGCAGGCTTCCAAGGAGGAGAGCCGTAGCCTGGCCTCCGACTTGCAAGAAGCCAAGACTCGTCACGGTGAGAAAATCTCCCAGGCTCTCATGCTGCAGGAGGATATTCAGAAGTTGCAGCAGAAGCTGGCAGCTGCTAACCGCCGCACAGTAAGCACCTGAAGACAGGAAGCCTCTAAGAATATTAAAAATAAGGTGTATCAAGTCCAGTATGCTGTCTCTAATGGGATGGTCTTGGTGTCCTCCCAGAACTTCTCAAGACACCCAATCTTGATAACCTATCACCGGCACCTAGTCATTTCTGTCCTTATGCAAGGAACCTCTTTTTGTCTATCCTAAATGAAAGTAACCATCTCATTTCATTGAGTATGGAACCTTAAGTAGCCGTCCAGTGGATATCTCTAACCCAGTAGTCTATGCCCACTTTTCATTACTAAAAGAAAGGTAGTAGTTTACAACAAGAAGGAATCCAGGATTTCAGAATGATATTTTAGACCAGGGGTGTCAAATTCAATTTCATTGAGGGCCGCATCAAGGCTGTGGTTGACCTCGGGGAGCCGGGTGGGCATGACCAACTGGGTGGGTGTGGTCAGCTTGACACCACTCATTGGGTATGGCTGCCTGGATGGGCGTGGTCAACTGGGTGGGTGTGGCCAGCTTGACACCACTCATTGGGTATGGCTGCCTGGATGGGCGTGGTCAACTGGGTGAGTGTGGTCAGCTTGACACCACTCATTGGGTATGGCTGCCTGGATGGGCGTGGTCAAGTGGGTGGGTGTGGCCAGCTTGACACCACTCCCCAAACTGCTGGCATGTTTCATCTTCGTACTGGGTAGACTAGGCCAAAGCCAGGCTGGCCCAATGTTTCCTCGTTGCATTGGGTAGATTGGGCCAAAGCGATACGGGCCAGCCCCTTATATTTTCCAGGACAGCCCCCAGACCAGATCTGGCCCTGGGGGCCTTGTGTTTGACACCCCTATTTTAGACTGATAAAAAACAAAGTTGGACAAGGAAAGTTCAGATCAGAACATGTCATAGACAAAAAATGTAGGGTGATGTTGCTTCAGGCCCAACCCTTTTTCTCCAAATGTGTATTTTGTGGAAGAAGATTCGTGTACAAAATGGCACCAGGTTCTACTGGGCACTTCATGAATTAGTTTTTTAAAAAATTCTAGAGAAATAAGGTATTTAATTATGGATGAAGTCCCTTAAACTCATGGGCTTTGTTTCATAAATAGTCTTGGAACAAAGTTACTGACAACAGAGGTGGTTTCATGTTAGAGAACAAGAAAGAACTGACAAAAAAATTAGCCACCCCTGATTTAGGCAAAACCACTTGTTCTGTCAGGACTTGCAGGGCAGAGGAGTGGATGGGTGGGAACCAGAACCCAGGGATTTATTCTTGGCCCAAGGAAAGAAACCAGATCAATCTCTCTCTCTCTCTCTCTCTCTCTCTCTCTCTCTCTCTCTCTTTACGAAAATCAGAAAAGATTTTTTTTTTTTTGTACAAGAATTAGGTTAGAGCTTGAAAACCTGAAATACATCAAGTATTGGAAGACACTCGCATCCTCCATAACCAATACTTGTCCTTGCTGGGACTGGTTCCCACTTCAGGACTAGAAAGTGTGCTGAATCCTAATGGCTAACATTATAGACCAGTGATGGCTAACCTTTTCAGCTTGGTGTGTCGAAAATCGGGAAAAAGTGTAGCCTTCCTCGGGTCGTGTGTCACTTCAAGAAATATCAATAATTTGGTTTATGATGGACTGGGCTGGGGTGATCACACAGGACTGTGAAACTCGTCTCCCTGGTCTCAGGGCTGCAGGTGCAGGATGTGGGGATCGGAAGGCCACCTTACAGGGCTGTGAACCTCATGGATCTCCTTTCCTCCTGTAGCGTTCCTGAGGTAATGAAACTGACAAACCTCAGCTTATGGCGGTTAAAACTGGTTCTCTGCTGCAAAGATCTTGCGGCAGCGGTGACACCATGCCTCCACGCAACAAGCAGGGAGCAGGGATTGGAGCAGAGCACAGGCAGCCTCTAAATGTGCAGGTTTAGTGCACCAACAGGCGTGTCAGTCAAAGTGCCTCGGCGTGTCACGAGTGACACGCGTGTCATAGGTTAGCCATCACTGTTATAGACCACTTATTCTCTTCCCGGAGCTCTCCTAGTGCCATAAAGGTTGGACTTGGTCTCTCCACCTTCTCTTGGGCCTCTTCTTCTCATCCCTCTCTCTTTCCAGGTACAGATGGAGTCCTTGTGTGAACAGTTACGCACCACACAGGACGTTCTGGCTGCCAGCCAGCAGAAAGTGGCTCTCTTGGGGGAAGAGCTAGCCAGTGTGGCCTCCATCCGAGACCGTACCATCTCCGATCTCCACAAGAGCCGCCTTGAGGCGGCTGAGGTCAACATCAAGCTTGCTGACATGACCCTCAAGTGGAAAGAAGGCAAAGGCCAATGGTGGAAGGAGAAGGCCATGCTGTTGCAGAATGTAGAGGTATGTGCATGTGGTCCCCTAAGTCGGTGGAGCAAACTTCTGTGGTGTTTTTTTTTCCTTCGGCATTTATGTTCTTTTTGTCTTGTGGGAAGAAACCATGTATGTGGAAGCCTCATCTCATTTACCTTCTCAGCAATCCAGGACTGAGATCGGATTGAGAGGGAGCAAATGGTCTGGAATTATTTATAATCAAGTGGAATTATTCGACACCAGAGCTCCTTCCTCCTAGGCCAATATTTTCAGCACTACCTTCCCCAATTCACATACGCATTGCTTATTTCTTTGTAGCGGAGAGAGGGAATAAAGCAAAAGGATCCTGACATGCATTGATCTTTTGTTTTGGATTGAAATTAAACTCTGGGGAAGTTTTTTAATCAGTTTTGCATGCAGAAAGAACAAAAATCCCCAAGCAGTTGAATGCCAAGAATGAACGTTTGGGAGTTTCAAAAGAAAAAAGAACAATATGGCTTTGGAGCTAAATTAGTCTGTATTTTAAAGGGATAAAAGACAATATTAGTAGCTCAGAGTTGAACTGTGAATCCTTGGTGCTCTCTAAGCTTGGTTGTTTTCTTGCAAATGTTTCATTACCGAAGTAGGTAACATCCTTAGTGCTGATGGTGTTACCTAGTTTGGTAATGAAAAGTCTGCAAGAAAACAACCAAGCTCAGAGAGCACCAAGGACTCCACAATATTTAGTTGTGCCCTCTCCAGATTCCCTTTCTGGGAAATGTTTGAAGGAAGGGATAAACTTTTTCTAGTATGCTGCACTAGATTATCTTCTATACGCTTAATAAAGCTAAGTCTTATTGAGAAGGATGCGTTAAAGGGTGCAGGTTTCCATCATTTCAGATTTTATGTGTAGGAATTTGGAACATTTGAATTTGAAAGTGGGTGTTTCGACTGTAGTGTTCTTCCAACCATTCTGAAAGTGTTCTGAACTTAAAGCAGTCCTACAGAATTGGCCTTCTGAGCTTAAAATGGGGCTAGTTTGAACTTCAAACACTTCTGGTAAGGTCAAAACAGTTTTGAAACATCCAGTGAAGTCTTGAGTAGCTGTTCCAAACACCAGTTGCCTTGATGATTTGTCTTGAAAAGTTTCAAATGTAAAGTGTTTTACTTACTATTTGAAAGAATCTCATGTTATGTTTGAATTTTGTACATGTGTTATTTTTTTTCCAGTAGGACCACAAACATAAATTTTCAGCAATGTAGTTTGCTCTGTGGGATCCCTTTTATCAGTAGTGTGGATCTTGTGGAGAACTATTCTGTCATTATTGACTGTGTTGAGTCCTCCCCTCCTTGGGGTCTTTCCTTCCTTCCTTCCTTCCTTCCTTCCTTCCTTCCTTCCTTCCTTCCTTCCTTCCTTCCTTCCTTTTTTTCTTTGATTTCCCTTACTGTTGAGACAGGGACAAAATTGCTGGGATAACTAAATCTATAGATGACTCCTTCCTAACCTAGCTGTTCTTTAGAGTTGTAGATGTCCCTGAACTAAAACATTTGCTATCTCTGACAACATGGTCATTGCTGAGGAGTTGATGGGTTTATTTGTTTATTTATTTGTTGAATTCATATTTACATAGTTGCCCATCTGACTTGCTTGTGATTCTGGGCAGCATACACAATTAAAACAAAATTTACAAAGTTTACATAATTTATTAAAACCAACTAAAAACTGCAATAAGAACCATTACTGTCGTTAAGTAGCATCTAGGCTTCCTTGGGTTCTCCAGCCCTGCATATTTCATGAAGAATCCGACCTTGCCAAGCTCTTGAATAGCTTTCCATAGAGCAGATGGGTGGGGTGGGGGGAGTAATCTCATCCTGCACTGACCCTTCCTTTCAAATGTATGTTTTGTTAGGCAGAGAAAGATAAGATCCTGAAGCTGAGTGCTGAGGTTCTCCGCCTGGAAAACTGCTTGCAAGAAGAACGGGCACAGTGCCAGGTGTTGCGTATGGACCTGGCACAGGAACGGGATGCCAGTCTGGTAAACTATCTCTCCTGGGGGGGAGAAAGAAAAGGATTCCATCATTCAAGGCGGGAGGGAAAACAGAGACTTTGGGCAATTATTTCTGCCCTCTCACAAGTAGAAGCTGTTTGCAGATTAAGATTGCCAAGCTTCCAGGAAGAGGTTGAACTCCCTTGCATCTTTATCTTGCAAGGATCACCAGCAGAGAAAGTTTTGAAAAGAGCTCTTGGTGCTTTCTCTCCATTGCAAGATAAATGGTTCTTTCTGAGACTTTTTGAAATATCAGCGAAAGGCTAACAAGAGCCCATCCTTCCATTTCATTTCTCTTTTTCGATTTGCCAGTCACTATCCTGTTGTCATCCTTAGTTCTCACTGAGAATTTTTTTTTTTTGCGCAGACCTTCACAGTCCTGTATACCCCATTATTTGGTTAGATGCATCTACAGAATAGGTCTTCCTAACTTGGGTGCCCTCTAGACTGCAACTCCTTTAGATCTGTCTTGACCATCCTGGCCAGGAGGTCAAAGAACTGTTGTCTCACTGTATCAGGAGACCACCATTAAAGTTAGGAAAGACTTAAAAGGGATCCAGCATTCTCTTATCCTGGATAAACCTTTGCTAGCACAGATTCTAAGACAAAGCTGGACCACATGAGGCCCATGGACTACACTAGGCTCATCAAACACCCAGGGGTGGGATTCTACCGGTTCAGACCGGTTCAGGCGAACCATAGTTCCAGTGATCATTTGGCCCCACCCACCCGCCCCTGCCCTTTTCCTGTGCTTCATTTCCTTGTTTTTGAGCACAGCTGATTCGCGCAGCAGAACAGTTTGCCACGCATCGGCTGTTTTACTCACTGCAGCAGACGGTAAGTATTATAGCAGAGGTGGGCAACTATGGACCCTTTATGACTTGTGGACTTCAACTCCCAAAATTCCTGAGCTAGCATGGCTTGCTCAGGAATTCTGGGAGTTGAAGTCCATAATTCATAAAAGGGGCATAGTTGCCCACCCCTGTATTATAGCTAAAAGTGGTCTTTTCTAAATGCGCACGCAAAGCATGCGCTCACCGAACCGGTTGTTACACCGGTTGAATCGCACCACTGCAAACCTCCCTGGGTGATTTGATGCTGCTTATTAAAAAGCCGTTAAATTCACTACCACTCAAAAAAAAGGTGTGCTTCTGAGCATCTCTGGCTTCACTGCTGCCCCTTGTTCGAGCGCTGCCTCCTCTCAACTAGCAGCTGATTGATCCTCCAGGTATTGCTTTGCAGCGCACAATTATTTTTAATTCATCAGTGTGGCCCTTTCCCCTCTCTGGGTTATGCAGGCCTGCTCTAAGAGGTGAGTGGCAAGATAACAATAAATGGGCAAAAAAAGAAGCCCAAAAGGCCTTTGAGGAATGGAGTTGGCCAGTGATGAAGGGGAGGCTCTGCTCCACGTTAAGTGAATCACTGCATTTGCTAAGTTAGTAACATAGTTGTTAAGTGAATCTGGATTCCCCATTGACTGTGCTTCTCAGAAGCTGGTCCCGTGACCCTGAAGACACTGCAACCTTCATAAATATGCACCAGATGCCAAGCGTCTTGAGTTTGGGTCGTGTGACCATGGGGATGCTCCAGCGGTCATAAGTGTGAAAAACACTCCTAAGTCACTTTTTTCAGTGCCATTGTAACTTTGAACAGTCATTAAATGAACTGTTGTAAGTCGAGGACTACCTGTATTTTGTTCTCTAGTGGGATTCATAACTATATATATATATATGTTATTCTAAAATTCTGCTTTGGCCAACGTCACTTTTGATCTCATCAGGTTCAAGTCTCTGAGAACCGTCGCGAGCTACGGGAGCTACGGGCTGCCCTGCAGGTTGGCCAGAAGGAGAAAGAGCAACTGCAGTCCGAAAAACAGGTTAGTGTGGCATCCAAATGGAGGGAAGAAAGGCTGACCGTAGCCTGAATTTAGTATGAGAAGAAGACACTACTGTTCAGGGCTTAATGCTGATATGTTGCCCATTCCCTGCCTTCAGGAGCTGCTGGTGTATATACGCCGCCTTGAAGAACGTTTGGAGAAAGTAGCAGATGATAAATGGAGCGAATCAGTTCTGATTGATGAAGAGGAGAGAGCTCTGGATACTCCTGGTTAGTTCCACTACTATCAGCTGGCAGCCCAGCCAATTATATTTAATGCTATCAGTGACAAAGACACACACGCACACAAAAAATATAAGGATCAACAGACTTTGTTGAGTTCTGAAACTAGCCTTGTGAATCAAAATGTTCAGGCATCCTTAAACTTATTCAGAACGGAGCAGTCAGGGGTCTTGATGGAATTTACCTTGAGATTTAAGCTGCTTCTCCAGAATGTTGTTTAGCTAAATCTTTTCTTCCCATATTTAATCTGAAATGGGCAATATAGGGTTGATGGATTTTAATTCCTATGAGTCCGTGGCCAATAGTGAGGAATGATGGCAGCTACAGTGCAGCAATATCTTTGTCAGCTTTGGTATCCTTCTTAAAAGCTGCCACACAGCTGCGGAGGATGGAAGGGAGGCTACTGTTGTTTGAGTAGCTTTCAGTAGACCAAATAGATATATTACACCGTCAAGACCATTCTCTATGGCGCAGCAAGAATTATAGGTAAAAGGTTATTGGTTCACGTGATTTATGATGTGATAAAAAGGGGTGGGGGTAGGCTAAGTCTTGTGGGAAGTTGGGAGGAAACTTTAGTTCCGGAATTCCACAGACGTGCCAAGTTTCTGTTCTAATAAAGCACTTTGAGATTATGTTTGTCTCGGAGTCATTGATTGGAATGGATAATTTCTGGAACCCTGACATTATTCCGGAACTCCACTAAAGGGGCTGCTGAAACCCCAAGGGACCTTTTTTCCCCCCAGCGATGGAGAAAGTCCAAGAATCAGCTAACACTGAAGGTGAGACGGAAGGAACTTGGGGAGGGCCCTCCAGAGCATTAGCTGAATCCCTTAGCCTCCCCTTTGAGGAGATGATGGAAGCCTTCAGAAATGCAGAGGAAAGACAGGATTTAGGAGCCAGGCCAAGACGTTCCAACTCATGGGGGAGTTGTCAGACGGTGTTAAATAGACTGCCTGGGGAAAAATCCTTTTCGAGCCCTCTGCATACAGCAAAGGAGGCAGACTGGAGGGATGAGGCCCAAATTGAATCGGAACCCTTTCAAGGTGACAACCCCCAGGTTTATTCTGGAAGCCAATCGTTAGCAGAATTACCACAACAATTCCAGCAATTAAAAGTGGAAAGTTTTGTCTCAAAGCCACAACCTATCTGGCCAAGTTGGAGCCTGGCACAGCCCATCTTCTCGTTCCCAAGTGTTATGAGGGAAGAGGAAATTACACAGATGCCAAGTGGAGAGGCCCAGCGTGGCAGCCCACGGTGACAAGAGGTGCTGACTAGAAGAGGTATGTTGCAACCTCTAAGTCCTACTCAACACCCAGAAAGGAGTTTACACCCTGCAGAAAGTATCCCTCCAGGGTGGGGATTTTATCCAGGCCAGGGGTGGATTCAGTGCCAATGGATGCCAGCGCCAACAAAGCCCTGGTCCAAAAGGGAGTCAGAAATCCCTGTCCCACAAGGGGATCTACACAGACAGCAGTCACTCCCCCTCCACCCAGGCAGAGATCAAGGCAATGCCCACCTTCCTCATGGCAACCACCAATTCAAACCCCACTTGGAGCAACCCTGCAGAGGCCCCTCTTCCAGAGCGACACACCCCAGCCAGGCCTCAGAAGACCTTCCCAATCTAGATACACACCTCATCAGGCTCCTTTCATTCCAGCTCAACCTTCAGGTGCCAGGCCAGTACCACCTCCCCAACCACAACCCAGGCCAGACCAGATACAGTTCAAGGCCATTTTCAATGGGTGCCATGAACATTTTAATTACTTCCTCACTCGAATCTGGTCCCACATAGACCAATTTGGAGACCAATACACGACAAACCGCGATTTGGTTACTGCGATAACGGATGGGATGTATGAAGGGGATGCTTCTGACTGGGTAGCCCAGCTCTACAATGAACAAGCCCCAGAATTACAAGATGTCAATGGATTTATTCGATTATTGAGACTCAGATTTGAAAATCCAGACAGGGTGGCAGAAAATGAAGAGAAGTTAATGGAAATGAAACAGGGCAAGCGACCCTTATCAGATTTTATTTGGGACTTTAGAAGGGTCACGAGCCATCTCATAGATTGGCCTGAAAGAATGAACTTACACTATTTTAAGAACGCCATTGACCCATAAGTAAAGAAAGCCTGTAACATTAGAGGAATACCAGAGACTCTGCAAGCGTGGTATGCCACCACCCTCAAATTAGACCACCACATCAACCCACATAAAAAACCCCTACCTGAAGGCCCGTCTAAGAGAACTGTGGCCAGACAACCACTGACCAAACCTGCTGGAGCTACTCACATCCGACCCAACAGGATGATAAAATGTTACCATTGTGGCCAGGATGGCCACAGAGCAGCAGACTATCTGGCTCCCGCACCTGTTCCACAAGCACCACAATCAAGGTCTAGCATGGCTATCAGAGGTCGGAAAAATCAAGGAAAACCTCCTGACACTAGCCGGTTCGCTAGACACATCCTGGAAGGTCCTCTCTATGCAGAAGGGAACAACAAACTTCCAGACCAACACCACCTCCCCGAAAACCCGATCGACGAAGACGACCCAATGGTGAGTGCTGCCATCATACCTTTCACTGTCAAAGTCAAATTAGTGGTACCTAACATAGGGGAGGTTAGGGAGTTAGAAGCTGTCATTGATACTGGATGCTCTAGATGCCTTATTGGACTTCCTATCGTTGAACAATTGGGCATAAAGACTAACCCACTAAAACGCCCAATCAGATTTGAGCAAGTAGATGGGACATTAATTGGGGAGACCCCAGCAACCCAAATGACAGAGTTGATCAAAATGGCAATGGGTCGTCACCGTGAACTCATATGCTTTATAGTGGCTCCAAGAATGTCAGAATCGGTCATATTGGGACTTGCTTGGCTAGATAAATAGACCCCTACCATCAAGTGGGAGGATGGATTCAGGAAAATCATTATTGGATTGGGCCCATTGCCCCCCTTCCTCCCACTAAGAAAACACCACCCGACTTGAATCCAAAACCTGAAGCAGCAGCCACAGCCTCGAACCTTCTTCCAGGTACTCCCCAAGTGCCCAGACAATATAGAGACTTGGCTGAGGCATTCAGTGAAGAGGAATGTAATGTTTTACCTCCCCATCGACCCACGGATTGTGCCATAGAATTAGAACCCGGGGCAAAACTGCCAAAACCAAAGATGTATTCCATGACACCAGCTGAAATGACTGAATTGAGGAAATACATCGATAGTAATTTGGAAAGAGGTTTCATTGAAACTGCCAAATCTAAATTGGCCGCTCCAGTGCTGTTCAAAGAAAAGAAAGATGGCGGGTTGAGACTATGTGTTGATTTTAGGGGCGTGAACGCCATGTGCGTCAAAAACATGTATCCTCTCCCCCTTATGAAGGACTTATTAAACCACCTGTCAAAAGGCAAGGTCTTCACCAAGCTAGATCTGAGAGAAGCTTGCTACTGAGTCCGCATAAAAGAGGCAGATGAATGGAAAACAGCCTTTAACTGCCCTTTGGGTAATTTCCAATTCAGAGTCACGCCTTTCGGACTTCAGGGGGCCCCTGCAATATTTATGCAACTCCTCAATGAAGTGTTACATCTGCACCTGTACCGGGGGGTCCTTGGATACCTGAAAGACATCCTTATATTCAGCGAAACCATCGAGGAACATATCAAATTGGTCAGACAAGTCCTGAAAAAACTTCTAGCTGCCAAGTTGTATGTAAAACTGTCAAAATGCGAATTCCACAAGGAGTCACTGGATTAATTAGGCTACCGAATTTCCAACCAGGAAATTGAGATGGACCCTGGAAAAGTGAAAGCCGTGCTGGACTGGCAACCTCCCAAAACACGAAAGCAACTTCAAAGTTTTTTGGGTTTTGCCAATGTCTATAGACAATTCATTCCTTCATTTGCAGAGGTTGCTTATAGTAATGCAGTACATAGCAGCACAGGGTTGACTCCATTCCAAATGAACACTGGCATGGAATTTGTCCCTATGCCAGAATTACCTAGAGAACCTCCTACATCCATGTCTGTAACAGAATGGATGAACTCATTAAAAAAAAAGGTTGGGAGAATACAAAAAAAGCTTTAACTGAAGCTGCAAAGGATTACAAAAAGCAAGTGGACAAAAATAGATCCCTTCAACCACCATTTAAAGTAGGAGACAAAGTATATTTGTCAACCAAATATCTTAATTGAAACTTCCTAGTAGGAAGTTAGGACCTAAATTCTTAGGTCCATTCCCAATTTTGAAAATAATCAATCCAGTCATGGTCCAATTAAGTCTTCCCCAGCTATTGGGGAAAATCCACCCAGTGTTCCATAGTAGTTTATTAAAACCAGCTGTTACATCAATGCTAAGACCAATACCAATTGCTCCCCCTAAACCTTTAATTATACAGGGTGAGACACATTATGAAATCAAAAAAATCCTTGATTCAAAATAACACCGAGGTCAGTTGCAATATTTGGTCTTATGGAAAGGTTACCCTATATCAGATGCTACTTGGGTAAAAAGTTGGAATGTACATGCAGATAGATTGGTTAACCAATTTCATCAGGAATTTCCCAACAAACCAAAAGGTCCTCGTGGGGGGGGGGGGTTAAGACATAAGATTAACCCCTGTTTGTATTTGTTCCTTATGTGTTTTTTTTGGAGGCGAAATTTTCAAGGGGGGATGCCTGTCAGCTTTGGAATCCTTATTAAAAGCTGCCACACAGCTGCGGAGGATGGAAGGGGGGCTACTATTGTTTGAGTAGCTTTCAGTAGACAAAATAGATATATTACACCATCAAGGTCATTCTCTATGGCGCAGCAAAAATATAGCTAAAGGGTGATTGGTTCATGTGATTTATGATGTGATAAAAAGGGGTGGGGGTAGGCTAAGTCTTGTGGGAATTTGGGAGGAAACTTTAGTTCCGGAGTTCCACAGATGTGTCAAGCTTCTGTTCTAATAAAGCACTTTGAGATTATATTTGTCTCGGAGTCATTGATTGGAATGGATAGTTTCTTGAACCCTGACAATCTTGAGTACTAAATGTTTACTCCTCTGGTGGGTAGGGCCACAACTGAGAAAAACTATCTCTGTTGGTGCAGTTTGTAATTCTTCCATTTTTTTCTCACTCTGTGGGAACTCGGTGGAGTATTCTATAATGAAGCTGTAACGTCAGAATTTAGATTTTGTGAGATATTTCTTCTGGGTGGATGGAACATCCTTTCCTAGGAACTTTCAAAAGGAGAACCTTTTGCTTCCCTTCCCCAAATCCATGCCAAGCACATTAGGAAATGTTTACTGTCTCCCGTTCTTGCCTTCAAGTCAGCATTGACTCCTGAGGACTGCTCAGCCAAGTCCCTGCATATTTTTTTGGGCAAGGTTTTTCAGAAATGGTTTGTCATTATCTCCTTCTTAGGACTGAGAAAGAAGGACTGGCCCAAGGACACCCAGCTTCCATGTCTGTGGCAGGACTAGAACTCATGATTTCCTGGTTTCTAGCCTGATATCCTAACCACTACACCAGACTGGTTCACTATCTTCTTATCTGAAATCAATTCAGTTCTGATGAAAGGAAGATAGGAGGGAGAAGGCAACCAAAGAAGGAAATGTCAGATAAATTTCTGGGATCAGGACAAGTTTGGGTGTGAAGAAGTAGAGGAAGGGAGAATGGTGATGAAACAAAAAAGGCCAATGTGCAGGGCCTAGCAATGACTGTGTGAAAAGCCCTTATTTTTCAACTTTTAGAGAGCCCCAGCCTTCTTGTGTCTGCATTCTGAGTAATGCATCCGCCAAAAGCAGAACTCGAAGGCAGGTAGATTCCTCAAAGAACATGTTTATTGGATACAACTTATCGGCACAGCAAGTGAAAACCAACTCTAAAAGTTCCTATGGTTTTTAGCCTAAATAAAAGAGCAAGTGTTTCCTTCCCCAGATGTCCAATGAAAGTAGCTGGCAGGCTGATTGGTCACTTCTCATTCAACTGCCACCTGTTGGGATGACCTTGGTTCCCACAAGAAAACTTTCTGTTTTGACTGTTAACCAGTCTATCTACTCCCCCCTCCCTTCCCCCCTTCAAAGTTCGTGGCAACTATGAGATATCAAAAGATGGCTTCAGCCAGGTTTGCTTCAGAGTTGACATCTTGTTCTTCAGAGCACCTTCCTTTTAAGCTCCTTTTTGAGGGCAGGAATTGAAAGTATCCCACCCAGCAACCCTGGATTAACCATTAACAAAATAAACATGTGCTTGGAGCACCAATGGACAGGAGGGCAGATTTACCTCCTAGACAGACATCCAGTTTCAGTTTCAAGCCCCACTAGGAGGCTAACTAGAGCGAACCGAGCAATGTTTTTCTCTGCAAGGTGAGTCTCTACTGGGAGCATCATTGCTTTCTAGGAGAGATTTGTTTTTTTTTCACAGACACATCTAATGCCATCTCCTCCATTTTCATCTTCCAGGCTCCCTGGGCTCCTCGCTGTCTGATTCTGAGGACGAATGCCCCGAGGACATGCGTCTGCCCGCCCAGCTCAGTTCTTACAGCCTGTGTGACACCCGGGCAGTGACCACCAAGCCTCCCTGTGCCCATGGCTCATCTCACACAGTGGTGATCAGCCAGCCTGCTCCTATTGCTAGTCAGATCAAACAGCTGCCCACGGATTCCAGTTCTGACTCGGTGAGGCCCTGAGAAGCAAGGAAGGACCCAGCTCAGCCCAAGTAGAGCTGTCCAAGGCAAAGGACAAGAGAGTTGCTTTGGGGATCCAGCCAAAGAGATGATCTGGCCCAGGGATAGCGCAGCTGTTTTGAGGTTTTGAAAGCGCACTGTGGGTGCCTTCGTGCCATGGAATCCTCGAAG